TCCCAGACGTTTCAAAGTAATTGTTGAAAATATTGGTTTTTTAAAAGAAAGTCTTGCAAAAATTTCTCAGCTAACTAATCTTTGTTCTGACAAATTGTGGTCTTAATTGCATAGCTTTGCTATTAACTTTGATTGGCCCTCAAACACACTATGAGATGAATTTGCAGCGAGTCTTAGTGACGGTGATTCAGAAGAATTGAACTCAGAATTGGATTCTTCAACAAAAGCCACTGAGAATAAGAATTTGATTTGAGAAGTGAGATTTTCAGATTTTTAAACGTTGTGTAGGGTAATTGGCTGTTTGTGTGAAGATTAAGTAGAGTTATCAAACATTTAGCTTCTATAAATTATGTTAAGAGATAGTAATCAGTTACATTATAATTACCAGTTACACTATTCTGTCCAAATCCCATACTATACCACACACCCCACCAGATATTTTATTTACCTTGAATGAGTTAAAAAGAGTGTTATGAACCAGTTATTCATACATTCACCCATAAATAATTTATTAAAAATTATTTATGGGTGAATGTTGTAACTTATAGCGAAAACGCTCTTATCTTACGTATAAAGTATTTATACGACTCCAAAGTCCTTTGTTAGCGGCAAAGGATTCCAAATTAAATAACATCATTAAATATATACAAATATAAATTTAAATATAATTAAATCTTGCAATATTAAAGAGATCGCTTGGCTGAGTGGATGATGTTATGGGCAGTGACACCGGAGATCCGAGTTTGATTCCCAGTAAAGTTCTATTTTACTTTTTCTGTTTAATGAGACGCATCAAATAAAAATAAACTATACTTAAGGCAGACGTTTTTTTCAGGCACCCCTCTTCAGTAAGTCCGTAAAAAGCGAGTCACGCGAGAAGAGTAATATTAAAAATAAAGCTTAAAACCCAGTGCCAAGTGTAGGCTACCCATACCCCGTAATTAGAGGGGGTGGGGTGTCGTGGGGAAGCAGCAAATTTTATGCTCTTTTGCTATTTTATTTTAGCAAAACCTAGCGGTAAAATTTGGAAGATTTTGAGACTCTAATGACACGTTTTTTTATTTTTAGGGGAGGGGGGTCTCCGACTTATTAGCTAAAACCTGTTTTTTGTTGACTCAAAAAATAGGCAACCTATTTTTTGCACATTCATGCACACATGTCACTTCTTATATACTGGCCCTGAGTATACTCAGGGTCAGTATCTAAGGGGTGGCATGGGCGCCTGCAGGATGTTTTGATGTTTCAGATAGGACACTTTCACACATTGTGCAAACTTCAAACTTAAGTATGTTTATACCTATGCTAAATGAGGAGATCTTGTAAAAAATTGGTATGGCGGAGAGCTGTCAACAAATAGCCCTGAATTGCTTGCCCCTCTGCTCAAACATGAGGGTACTTACTCTAGTAAAATTTTTAACTTAACGATCTAAAATTAAATTCAAATTTATCAATAGAATTTAAATTTTGTTGAAAAGTATAGTAAATTACAAAATGTCAATGTAAATGTCAATGCAAAATGTACAATCTCTCATTTGTTTATTTTTTTTTTGCGGGGAGGGTGTCGGAAAATTTTACTACATTAGTGCCCTCACGTTTTGGCAGGGGAGGAGATGCAAGCGTTTGAGGGCTTTTTTGTTCCCAGACTACCACCATAACAATTTTTTGCAAGGCCACTTCAAATGGCATAGGTATAAACATACTTAAGTTTGTAGTTTGCACAATTTGCGGAAGTACCAGTACTTCTACAATGTGTGGAAGTGCCCTCACGTTTGAGCAGGGGGGCAAGGTTTCAGGGGTTTTTTTTGACAAGTTTCTGCCATCCCAATTTTTTACAAGGTGTCCTCATTTGGCACAGGTATAAACATACTTAAATTTGGAGTTTGCACAATGTGTGAAAGTGTCCTATCTGGAACATCAAAAAATCCTGCAGGCGCCCATGCCACCCCTTATATACTGGCCCTGATTATACTTAGGGCCAGTATATAAGAAGTGGCATGTGTGCATGTGTAAAAAATAGGTTGTCTAATTTTTGAGTCAACAAAAACAGGTTTTAGCAGCGCATATAGGTCGGAGACCCCCCTCTCCTCGAAAAAAACATCATGTCATTAGTGTCTCAAAATCTTCCAAATTGTCCCTCCAGGTTTTGCTGAAATAAAATAGAAAAGGGCATAAAACTTGCTGCTCTCCCACATCACACCACCCCCTTTATATACGGGGTATGGTTACCCTACACTCGGCATTGGGTTTTAAGCTCTTTATGGACTTACTAAAGAGGGGTACCTGAAAAAAATGTCTGCCTTAAGTATAGTTTATTTTTATTTGATGCGTCTCATTAAATAAAAAAGTGCCCATAACATTATCTACTTGGCTGAGCGAACTCTTCGATATTGCAAGATTTAATTTTATTTAAATTTATATTTGTATAAATTTAATGCTGTTTTTTAAATTGGAATCCTTTGCCGCTAATAAAGGGCTTTAGGGTTGTATAAATACTTTATACGTTTTTCACCCCTCGCCTATTTTTATTTTCTTTTTATATAAAAATTTATTGAAATAAAAACGGTGGAGGAGGTACCCTAGATACTTTTAAAGTATCTAGGGTATCTTCTCTACCTTTTTTTTCTATTGTGGAGGGGGTGGGGTATATGAAAACGTACGTACTTTTAAAGGGGGTGGAGACTTAAAAATACGCATGGCAACAGGGGGAGGGGTGTTGAATTTCAGAATTTTTGGCGTACGTACTTTATGGACGACCCCTAAGGAAGAAGGCGTGAACTTCCTGGTTAAATGCACATCCGCGGTGCTCTTTGACAAGAACGTTTGGTCTTCTTGGGGCACCTAACTAACAAAAAAAAAAAAAAAAAAAATTGTGTTTATACTTAGGGGTTTCTCATAATATACGTTCGCATGTATGCGTTAAGGGGAGGGGTCATATAAAAACGTAAAAATACAAACAAGATATTGATGGGTGTGGTAAAAGACATCGTTCGGTGTAGTTAGGGCAATTTTAAAATATTATAGCGTCTGTATGATATTTTGTTGACTACGACATAGTTTCGTTAAATTATCAAGTCTGTGATTAATGAAAAGACAAAAAAAATCAAAACAATAAATTTAGCGGTATAATAAAATATAAATGCGAAAAAACCCAGACCAAAGATTCTTTTTTTTTTTTTTTTTTTTAAATCTTCTTAAAATCATAATCACTTGTCCAAGTTTTAATAAAATTTTAAATAAATACGTTTTTAAGATAAAGATACATTATAGTTTAAAAATATGACCTGTTCTTATCGTTTATTGGCAATTTTTCTTAAGTATAAGTTCTTTCTTGGCCGGAATACTAGTATTTTTTGTGAAAATTGATAGAAATATTGTGTTTTGACAACTAAATATAGTTAATATACGTCAGAACTAAATAGAACTAGGATCAATCGTAAATTAAGGAACTTTTTCAAAAGATATTAACTAAATTCATGTTAACGCTGATGAGCGGAAATGATCTAAAGACTCCAAAATGGTGTTCTTTAAATTCAATATTAGGGGTAGTAAAAACTTTTTACTAAGGTTTTGAAAATTAGATATATATAAAAAAAAGTTTATTAAAATATTGTAAAAACCTAAGCAACAAAAACATATAACATTTAAAAATCTTGTTTGGACGTAATATACTGATAAAACCATTCTAATTTCAAATAAAAAAATTCGAATAATCTCTAAATTGTCTTAAGGGGTCGTCCATAGTGTACGTACGCTTTTTTTCGTCCGCTCCCCTTCCCTTTCCCGCATTTTCCAATTAGCTTTTTTGTGTACCTTCCGCCTCCCTAAAAGTACCTACGCTTTTAACCTATTTATCTAACATTTTATGATATTCTTTTTTAATATAATGTCTTCTTTCTTTCATTATTGACCTACTGCCCTTCCATTTCATATACGCCATTTGAAGATTGCCCTCCGAACGTACGTACTTTATGGACGATCCCTTACTACATCGAGCGAGTACGTACGCGGATCTCTCTCTATCTCTCGTTCTATAACTTTCCTAAAACTTGATTTTTTTTTAAGACGAGCATTGGTTTTATGTGTGTTAAGAATCAATAATATTATTTTTACTAAACTTAATTTGTATTCATCGATTTTTTTATTAAATTTTAAATGTTATACAATAACCTCTCAGCGTTCAAAAATTTATAAAAAAAACCTCATAAAATTTGTAACCCTCTAAAATTGAAAAGCCTCCAAATATTAATTTTGCCTCAAGCCCTGAGTGAGCTCAGGGCGGTGCTGGCTTTATATGGATAGAAATAAAAATTTAGAGTCAGAACAATATACTTTTGTAAAAGTTAATCCACCCAATTAAGGTAAACGACCTGATCCGCCTTGCGAAACCGGAAATATTTGCGATTTTGCCAAATTTAAACATAAACAATTTTATAACAAGTCATAATTTCTGTGCAAACTACAAAAATTAAAAGTGATTGAGAAAAATTGATTATTAAAAAAGTTGAAAATTGTTGATAAAGAAATAAGAATTTGAAATTTTGAAAAAGTTCTATTTGTATATCTTTGTAAAACAAAACGAGTGTTTGAGAAAAAAAAAATTAACCTCCAAAATCCGATTAGTGGTTTAACCACCGAATTTTATATTAGTTTGCAAAATATACTTGCATAAGATTTTTAAACAAATAAACAAAAATTAATGTTGAAAAGATTCATTTTATTAGCAATTTTTGGTTTTAATTGAATCATTGAAAGTAAAAAAACGTCCATTGAAATAGTTCAGAAAACGACACAAATACCGATTGTGTTGGATAAAACGTGCTCGCTTTTTGTGGCTGTATAATAAAACAATGGGATTATTTGAATTTTCCGTAAGATAAAACACACCCGTCTTTTGAAATAAGCATGTGTCTCTTTCAGTGATCGATGGTGCGTGTCGGATGTACATCAAGTAATTTATAGTGAACTTTTCTGATGCAATATTTTATAGAGATTTTAAAAACAAAAATGAATTAATTTTCCTATTTTTTTAATGGTTTGTTAAAATGACAACATTGACTTTTATCTCAATTTTTAAAAAGTTAGAATTTGTAACTTCATGGTTTATTACTTGAATATTTTGAAAAGTTTTTAAGAAGTTTTTAAGAAGTAAGTTTTTTTTTTTTTTCAAATCAAATGCTATATATATAGGAAATTATGTACCGCAGAGATTTTAAAACTCAAAAATTAAAAAAAAAATTCTATAGTGAACTTTTATTCTTAAAAAAAATTACGTTTTTCTTTTTAATTTGTGCACTTTTTCACTCATGCTGAGTTGCAACTTGAGTGGTTTTCGAATTTGGCGCTCGATTGAAAAAAAAAACGCTATAAAGTTTTTCTTAAAACTGTCAGTTACAAATAGATATATTTTTGTTACTTCGACTGATTTTATATTTAGTAAAACAAATTATTCCACCCATTTTTGTTACAAATATCGGTTTACAGCATGGATTTATCATCGCTGAATACAAGCTCTTTTCTATATCTGGTTTATATTAACTCAATATCATTTTTTTTATGAGCAATTTATTAAATATTTAAGGTCTATTCTGTTTGAAGTTTTTGATTTTGTTCAGAGAAAGTATTGAAAAAAGCAAGAGAAATTATTTTATTCGATTTTTTTTGTAAAAATCGACAAAATGATCGCTGGGGAGTTAAAAAAACTACTCTCCATCAAGATTAAATATCGTTCCGATGGCTTCACTGATCAATTTAACCGAGTTCTGGTCATGAAACTGTTGTTGGTCTGCTCAACTGTTATGTGTATTAATTGGTTTAAGGTACGATTTTTGTTCGAACATTTTTCTTCATGAAATAGATTTATACGGAAAACGAGCGTTTATAATTTGGAGAGACGACATTATTTCAATAGGTTTTCTTCATTTCTTTTTTCTAGGATTCTGTAAATTGTGTTGTACCGTCTTCTGCAACTGTGAGTTCAAGTTTTGTTTCCTCAGCATGTTGGATTCAGGGGGTTTATGTTTACGATGAACTTAAAGAACGTGTTGACAGCGTTGGTTATTATGGTAAGTCAAAATTATGAATTTTTTTTCCTAATTGCACCACATGTTTTCAGTGTTATAGTTCTCATTTCATATTTTTTCAGTGTTTTAAGTTTCTGACTCCTATATATTTATTTCTATCCTATATAAGTTATTTAAATCAATCAAAAAATCAAGAAATAACTTTTACATTTTAAGGTTGTTAACAAGTAGTACTTGTACAGTAGGGTTGTTGCAAAAATTACAATTACCAATATTAAGTAAACACCTATGATGAATGATAAACGTATTATTAATTAAACATTAATTAACCAATCAGCAGTTTTAATGCATTTAAGAGCTCCCTAAAAAATGAAAGATAACAACAACAAAAAAATTTCACAAAATTTAACTTTAATTCTCAAAACTAAAGTGTTTCTTATTTTATCTTTAGGATTGAAGATTTATTTATAATTCTTCTGAATTATTTGCGAAAAAAAAATGATATTCCTTTGTATATTTTTAGCGTAATACAATTTCATTTCAACTGGAATTCACGGGGTTAAACCAGGTGTTTTATTCATGAAGTTATTTTTATTTTTAGCCTCAAATATTTAAACCATGTACTCGTCCTTAGTAATATTCACCGTGATATAGAGTCCCCCCCCCCCTTTCCTCACCCAAATATTTTATTAGCATTAAACTTTTTCGCAAACGTTTTTACTAATGTTTTTCGTCATCACATAACGTTAATCTTTACCCAAATTTTATTTGCGATATAAACTAATTTTTTCTTGCGCACGTAAAAGTTGTGCCATGTTTCATTCAATTTAATCAGGCCATTTACCACCTAGTTAGAAAATCAATATAATAGTTACCGCTGAACGATAAAATCATTCTTATCGTCATCAACTAATGATATTTTAGTCTAACTGATGGTCACCAACCAATAATGCTGGAAAAAACTCCAAAACCATGATTTTTAGTCATGTCAAATGCAGGTGATTTTTTTGTAAAACCACGGTAAATGCAGTGCAGGAACAACCCATGGGTTTATTTATGCCATTATAAAATTTTGTAAATATAAATTGTATAAGGTTTTTGGCGAATTTTATAAGGCGAATGGAAGGGAGTTTGTTATTCATAAAAAAAATTTGAAATTAAAATATTGAGTTTTTCTAAAGTTTGAAATATAACTATTCTGAACGCTAAAAGAAATTTTCGGCATACCTGTCACGAACTAATGATAAAGCCATTTAATGATCACCAAGCCTAATAAATCTTAATCATTAACAATCTCTTTGATGACGCCACCTAGTTACAAAACCAAGTCGGCTATTAATACTTTCTGTTACTTTCTTTAAATTAAACTTCAATAAATGACCCTCGTAAATAGCCTTGATAGCTGCTAAGCGAATGCAAGATATTAATTTAGCAACAAAAAAAAATGTTTCTAAAATTAGTATTTGCACATATCAATAACAAATTATAGTTTTTTACTTTCTGCACTTATGTTTACTTTATTTTGCTATGTGAGTATTTTTCCTCTGTAAACATGTTTAAATAAACCTGTTGCAACAACTTCAAATAACATGCATCAACTGATTTGCAATATTGGATGAAGCATATCACACAATGAAAATAAAAATATAAAGTTAAATATCAAAGTCTTAAGTAATAAGACTAATTTAAAATAAAGTTAACACAAACAATAAAAAAGTTTTTTTTTTTTTTTAATACTGGTTCTTTATTTCTTTATTATTACTTTTAGTCCTTCATAATTTCGTAGAATTTTGACTAATAGTTTCTACTTATTCGCCTTGAGTGTAAATGTGGAAGTTGCTTTAATAAAATCTAGTTGGCTTTAAATTTTTTTGACCTCTAAACCATACATTAGCATAGCAACTAATTATTTATAATATAGTTGTTTCTATGCAATATGGTTTGCTTATTCGAGTCATTATATGAGTTATAGAGCACGGGTTGGTACACCGTATTTTGACTGAGTCAGAGATAAAAAAAAGAATTTCAAAGTTTAGGTTTTGTAAGTTGTTAGCTTAAATTACTCTGCATATTCTTATAAGTTTTTCTAGGTCGGATATTGTAAAGCTAAAAGTATAATACATCGCCAACTTTCCATATATAGTTGCACCGACAATGACTTTTTTATTGTTTTCAGTAAATTTATTTGAAGTTAATGAAAATTCTAGGAATTCCTAAAGATATTGATATGGACGGTACTTATGAGGACGGAAGACCCTGTCCAGTAAAGACCGATTCAAAGGTTTTCATTGGTTGCAAGCCGTTGACAAAGACTTTTTTCCTTCAGGTGACATTATAAAGTTATATTAATTTTTTTTCATTTAATTTATAAAAGTTATCGTAATACTTTAAATTACAATAAAATTTAAAAGAAAAAATAATACATTTAATAATACGATTAATGCAGAATTAATACATTTAAAATTATAAAAACAGTTGTTCATAACAATAAATTTAAAATTATAAAAACAGTTGTTCATAATAATAAATTTAAAATTATAAAAACCGTTGTTCATAATAAGACTCAATTTACTTTAGAGGTCCAAATCAAAATTAATTATTTTCAATTTGTAGTTTTTTTCATAAAATGTGTAATTTGTTTAAACAAAATTACGCATAAATTAATTACCACTGTTCTTTAAAAGTTTCTAAAAGATATACTCCCAGCAAACACAAACACAGCTTTTAAAAGACGCCATGTTTGCTGTGTTTGCTGGGCTTAGTTTTTCAACCTCTTGTTAACTTTTGGTAGAAGGTATTTAAAAAATTTTATATATTACTTTTTTAGTATCAATGGTTTCCTTTCTACATCGGAGCAATGGCATTATGTTTTTATCTGCCATATGTTTTGCATTTGTTTGCTAACGAAGATCTGATAAGCTTAAAAAAAACTGTAAAGTCAAACGGTTCCTCAGCCGACGCCATATTAAACAGTTATTTTAATAGAAAAACAAGTTCCAAATCTCGACTTCGGTTGCGGATTTTGTACAATTACATTATTAAATCGCTCTATGTATTTGTGAATATCATTTCGTTCATACTTACTGATAAAATATTCTTGGGAAAGTTCAAAAATTACGGTATTTTTTTATATGACAATTTTTAACTACAGTTATTTACTTAGTTATTTACAGTTATTTAAATAGATAAATTAAAAAAAAATTGTTATTTGTTATACAATAAATTTACAAATAAATTTAAATATATAATAAATATACAAATAAGTTAAAAGTTATTTTATTTTATTATTTATTTTATTAATAAAGTAAACTATATTTGGTGTCTAAGTTTTGCTAATGTAATTTTAAGGCGCTGTTTAATTTATTTACCGCCCAAAATTTAGGGTCAAAATGGCTACTTTGGTCTAAACTTCCGAACTCTGTTGCCTATGATTACATGGGTGCACGTAGTTTTCCGAAGCCTGGGAATGAGTTATTACCTCCGTTTGGATACTGTGAGCTTTACGAGTCATCTAAAGACATTAAGCATTCGGTCGCAAATCATTACCGATTTCTCTGCGAGATGTCACAAAATATTCTTTATCAGTATTGTTTAATAGTAGTTTGGTTCTTGCTTGTGCTTGGAATAGTGATTTCAATTATAGGTCTTCTTGTACTTCTCCTCAATCACGTGCTAACTATTGTGTTTGTCGTATTTCGTGGATTATCTGCGAGAAAGCTTTATAAAGTTTTATCATTACGTGAGTGCGAATATTTAGAATTAATAAGAAAACGCAACTTGCCTCTGTATTCGGAAATAATTTTAAAATTACGACTTGAAAAATACAACGGCACAGGTTCAACTCCTTGCGAATCTCCTCCACCTGGTTTTGACGATCTCTCGAAATTAAATAGTCACGTGTGACTGGAATTTAGCTGCCCAAATGACCAAAATGGAAATGATTTTTTGAGACAAGCATTTGGATAACGATCTTCACGTGGTTATTTAAAAATTCATTTAAAGTTATCGTTTGACTATGTTTATAAAAACATTTTACATTTAGGTAACCAAAAGTTTGCATTAAATTTAAAGTTAGAACAATTCATATTTTTTGTTACGCTTATTTTCATATCATATGCTGAGTAAAGACTTTTAAATGCAGTTTTTTAGATGAGTACATTCGTCTAATGCTGCATTGGATGTTCTCACTAGTAATTTTGTATATATTTTATAACGAGTGTAAACTTATATTTTATTTGAGAATGATCTATACTAAAATTAAGTTAGTTTTTTGATTTAATTTAGCGATAAAAGATGACGCTGAGGCTTTTGATAAAATGACTTTTGATCATTTTTAAACTTCATTATTACACAATTTCAAAAATGGTTTACTATCATGATTCGGGGTGAATATATTATATATAAATATCTAAAGAGACAGTTTTGTAGATAATTTATTTTTACATTTGCATTACTATTTTTTAACATTATTTTTAAGAATAGCATGTATATTATATATATATATATATATATATATATATATATATATATATATATATATATATATATATATATATATATATATATATATATATATATATATATATACATATATATATATATATATATATATATACATATATACACACACGCACTCGCACACACACATTGCGCACACACACACACATATATATATATATATATATATATATATATATATATATATATATATATATATATATATATATATATATATATATATACATATATATATATATATATATATATATATATATATATATATATATATATATATATATATATATATATATATACATATATACACACACGCACTCACACACACACATTGCGCGATTATTAACTCAATTGCTACGCTAAATCCCTTGGAGATAAATTCTGCACGAAGGAATTCTAGAACAAATCTATATAAAAGCCTCAGCGCTTTACTATAGAGTTAAAGATACTAAAGCAAACAACGAACAGTTTAATGTTGTACGTACTAAGTAATGATTTTTCTTTCATATTTTAAGGGCCCCAAAATTTCGGCCTTGTGCCCCTGTTTGTATATATATATATATATATATATATATATATATATATATATATATTATATATATATATATATATATATATATATATATATATTAGGGAAGATCAAAAAACAGAAATTTTTTCAATAGCATATGTCTGCAAAAAAAACAACATTTTTTATTTTTTGAGTAATGCCGAACTTGATTCGATTATTTTCGTTTTTAGCCTTAAAAAAGTCAAAATTAGGATTTCGTCGGAATGTCAAAAATGATTAGGTTATTTATGTCAATAGTAAATATTTGTTATGAACAATTTTTTTTCAGTAAAATAACTGTTAATCATTTCATACTTAAAAAAAAAAGTTATAAAAGCAGTTATTATTTGTATTGTATTAAATAAGCGAATAATTGGTACTTATTGCGTAGCCTTGCCGTGAAGATAAGAAATTTTATTTGAATTTGTTCTGTATGTTCATTTTAATGTATATACTTCGAACTATCTTTATAACTAAAATTATGTTTTGTTAGTTAGCCTAAAGGTTCGAAAATAGCTTCATTTTAAATAAATGACATTTTCATCCCATTCCTACAAAAGAATTTTAAAAGATTTTCTATCGTTTTCTAATTAAAAAAATCACCTCACTGCCTGTTGAAAAATTGATAATTCAGCCACATCTTATAAATCTTCTATGCGTGATACTTTAAATTGTACTTTTTTAAAAGTAAAAACAATTTTATGAAGAAAAATTTTTCGAAATTGAGAAACCTAATGGAAATTGCAATTGGAAAGTTTCTCTAGTGAAGCAATTTGACTTTAATAGTTGTAAAATGTATAACATCAGTTGTTGTCTCTTTTTAAAATAAATTTCTCTAAAAAGACCCAAAGAATAATTAAAAATATGATGACGTCATGTAAGCCTGAGAGGATTTTTTGCAAGCGTTCATAGATTTTGAATCTCAAATAAAAAATAATTTTTACAAAAAATCTATCCTGCCTATTCAACTAGTTTCAACTCTATCCTGCCCATTCATCCAGTTTCAACTTTTAAGAAATGCAAACTAGACAATTCTTATCCTTAATCAGACTGGTTTTAACATAATATTTCTTATTTGGAGAATGAATATAAATATCAATATAGAGTGATTGTTTGAACAAGTAAATGTTCCTTTCTGAATTTTTTATTTATTTATTTATATTTTCACTGTCGTATAAGAGATGTCATTGTGAAAATAGTTTTGTTTTAAATTGTTTAAATTTATATTACTAATGTATATGACTAATTTAAAGCTAAACACTGAACTAGAGAGCTTTAACCAATGGTTAATAGCTAATAAATTATCATTAAATTGTGAAAAAACAACTTTTACTCTCTTCCATAAAATAAGACAATCAACTTATTTTTCAATAAAGTTGCCAAAACTGTCAATCAATAAAAATGAAATAAACCGAGTAAATCATTCAAAGTTTTTGGGAGTAATATTTGATGAGAACCTATCATGGAAAAAACATATTAGTTTCATTGAAGCAAAAATTTCTTCTGCTATAAGTGTATTATATATATCTAGGGCCTTTCACGATTATAAATCACGGAAAATGCTTTACTTCAGTCTTGTTCATTGTCATCTCTCTTACGCTAATATTGCTTCGGCTAACACACACAAAACTAAGTTATTAAGATTACAGAGCCTACAAAACCACGCATGTAAAGCAGTTAACTATTTAAAGAGATTAGAAAACCCTTTCCCTTTGATGAAATACATGAATGTATTAAATATATCAATACTTAATTCGCTTCAAATATTAATATTTATGTATAAATATAAGAATAACTTGCTGCCAAAAGTGTTCTCTGATATTTTTACATCAGCATTTTTACAAAAATACAATCATCGGTCAAATAACAATCATAATTATCACTTGAACAGAGTAAAATCGCAAGAGTTAAAATTCTCAATTATTTGCCAAGGCCTATCATTATGGAATCAATTAAAAAATAACAATATAAAAAATTTGAAAAGCACTTTCTCTTTTAAACGACAAATGAAACTGCATCTCCTTAAGTTCTGACATATCGCGACGTTAGAATTATCTTGTTCTATCTCCACTTTCTGAAAAAATTGAGTTAATGATAGTGTTGTGTTCCTCAAAATAATGTCTTTCTACTGAATTGAAACCTAAGCTATAAGTAAAACAGTTGCGGAAAAAACATAAGTTATAAAAGAAAATTTATACGCCGTCTCCTAAAGTTTTTGTTTTTTAAATCGTTTTATCTCAAAACTAAAAATAAGGAGATAGAACAAGATAATTCTAACGTCGCGATATATGTAAGTATGTTTGTATATGTGTGTGTATTTATGGGTATATGTATATATGAGTATATATGTATATATGAGTTTTTCTTTATTCTTCACGTAGTATTTAACAGATAAAATATTCTATTGTAAATTTTCTAAAGCCATGTGGGTTTTAAATGATATTGTAAAAAAGCTCTATGAAAAGATTGTGGTGACACTAGTAATCCGTATCTTCTTTGAGCCCCTGTCTGCTTTATATATATTCTTTGTGTAACGTAAATGTTTCATTGTAATTTTGCTATTTTGTTTTTATATAAACAGCAAAATATATTAAAATAAAAAAATAAATAAATAAAGCACTACCAATGCGGTAGTGCTATGGTGATAAAGGGCTCACCTTGTAAGCAAGAAGTTTCGTATTCCTACCCATCATCAGCCACGGCTGTTCTTCTAGTATTTTGAATGCCATCTTATCATGGTTATATATTTTAAACTTTAAAAGGTGTCGGGCTGGTATAACCATTGGCGAAGGAAGATTTTTAAATGTTTGAAATAACCAACTTTTAAACAAAAAGAACATTCCAAATTTTTTTACTTTCATATGTATGACGAAAGATTCTTTACAAAAAAAAATTACTGTGATAGGAGAATAAGAACAAGAAGCCCTAAACTCATGTTTAGGGCTTCTTGTTCCCGCGACTCTACACAGTAATTATCCATTACTCTATCACAACCCCTAAATGTGAGGGCAATGACTTGAATAACTTTTTATTATTAATATAAACTAGTTATGTGTTCATCGAAAGATTTCAAATTTTTTGATTTAAGGGTTCCACAAACTTTACATGGTCATAAAAACTGAACACTGAATAATTTAAAAATAAAATTTGAAATCTGTTGATAAATACATAACTAGTTTATTTTTATGAAAAAATTAATTATTCAACTCATTGCCTTCACGTTTTAAAAATTTGGAATAATCTTTTTATTTAAAAGTTGGTTATTTCAAACATTTAAAAACCTTCCTACGCGACTGGGTATATCAATCCGTCATGCCTTACTGAGAGTACTGCTATTAAGTGTTTACTAACGACTATTGTTTACTGAAAAAACAGCAGAATAAAAAAAAAATGCAGTAGAGTAAAAGCAAAATACAGTAAACACGATGCAATAAGTTTGTATTCCAGTTCTCTAATGAAAACTGGGTATAAAAATGTGTTTAAAAATTAATTGATTGCGTAAGAATTAAATCTTAAAAAGTATAAAAAGAAAATTACCACCTCCCCACCCTACCCCAATTTAATAACCACCTCCCCCCCTACCCCAATTTAATGACCACCTCCCCCCCTACCCCATTTTAATGGCCACCTCCACCCTACACCAATTTAATAACCACCTCCCCCCCTACCCCAATTTAATGACCACTTCCACCCTACCCCAATTTAATGACCACCTCCACCCTACACCAATTTAATGACCACCTCCACCCTACACCAATTTAATGACCACCTCCACCCTACACCAATTTAATGACCACCTCCACCCTACCCCAATTTAATGACCACCTCCACCCTACCCCAATTTAATGACCATTCCCCAATCTGCGCTAGCTCAACGTATCTCCACATATCCCTGCAATAACATTCTCTCGTAAAAGTTTAGAATCAGTTAAGCAATTTTTGGGTAAATCCATAATTTATTGAAAATGGTATACTTTATGTATGTCATTTGTGTAAGTTATTTTAAATAAATTATGGATTTACCTAAAAATTACTAAAGTAATTCTAAACTTTTGCAAGAGACTGTACATCAACCTAATTAATGAATTTTTATATTTTTTTAAATATTTTTTCGTTTAATATTACAATAACTAAATATATTTTACAATTTTCACATTAGTAACGACAGGACTTCTAGAACATCTTCAAGATCTTGTCATGAAGCCCTTTACAATATATGGTTAATTTTTGATAAAAATGCAATGTCTGTAGTGAAATAATAATAATACACCTTTATGCCAAAATATTCAAAAACCAAAATAAAATGTTAAAAGTCAAGAATAATAAATCAATAATATACAAAATAAAACAACAACAACAACAAAAGGTAATTAGAAATAAATCAAGGTATTTTCAATTAAAAATAAATTTTTTTTTAGTTTCTGTTTGAATAAACCAAATAATATACAAAATAAAACAACAACAATAACAAAAAAAGCAATTAAAAATAAATCAAGATATTTTCAATTAAAAATAAAAATTTTTTAAGTTTCTGTTTGAATGAAGCAAAAGTCAGTTGGGTGGAAAAATCAAAATTTGGTTAGACTATTTTGTTCAAGAGATAAGGACCTCGGTAAGAAACAAAAATTGGTCTTTGCTTTTACGACAAAAAGGGGCAATAAGATTGTTATTAAATCGAAAGTTATATTTGTTTTTAGGTTTCATACCACAAAAATTTTGTAATATATTTGGCGACAAATTTTATCTACATTTAAACATGAAACATAAAATATTAAAGGCATTTAGTTGATATATATACATTTAAAATATTCATTTCTTTAAAAAGTTGATTCGTATGAAAAAACCGATTTTTAAATTTATTGCGGAGTTGTGTGTTTCTGATGAAGGTAAAGAGATTTTACCTTTGTTCTATGAGTGCTTCCCCATATAATATTCGCGTAGTTTATATGACAATGTATAAATGAATAATATAATTGTGTTAACTGATGTTTACTTGATATATTTCTTGCTTTATAGAGAATTCCGATGCATTTAGCAATTTTATTGGGGGTATTATCAATATGATTTCTCCAAGATAGATTTTCATCAATATAAACTCCGACAAACTTTATCTCTTTTTATTGTTATATTATTAATTAAAAGGTCTGGCATGATGTGGGTCAGTTTCTGGTTTTTTAAAGATGGGTAAAAAAGTATCCATTTAGTTTTTTCTATATTTAGAAATTTTTTTTTGGTTTAAACAAAATAGATATTTTGTTTAAACCAAACAGAAACTTTTTTAAATTTTTTTGTCATATTAGTAAAAAGCATATTAATATCTTTATGAGACAAAAACGGGTTTGTGTCGTCTGCAAAATTTATTGTAGTTAAATTTGATAATTTATGAAGATCATTTATGTATATTAAAAAAAGAGGACCAAGTATGGATCCTTGTGGAACACCACATGTGATATTCATTAATATATGAGATATAGAATTTTTATAGTAAACAAACTGTTTACGGTTAGTAAGATACCTTTCAAACCATAATAGGGTTTTATCTTTAATACCATATGATATTAGTTTATTGAACAGGATTTGATGATTGACGGTATCAAATGCCTTGGACAAATCAATAAACACTCCTAGTGCAAAACAAGAGTCTTTAAATGAGTCAGTTATATTGCGCGTAAGTTAGCATGCTCGGTTGAATTATGTTTTTTTAAACCAAATTATTTTTCGTATAGAATTTTATTTTTAACAAAATAAGAGTAGATTCGGTTGTTCATCTTTCTAAAATTTTTTCAAAAACTGGAAGAACAGAAATTGGGTGATAATTTGTCATATTTGTACGATCCCCTGTCTTAAAGATTGGGGTTACTTTCGCTATTTTCAGTTATTATCTGGAAAAAACCATTGTGCGATGGATGCTCTGACGATTTTATAAAGAATATCTTTTATAACATTGTAGGAATCAACCACAGTATTTGTGTTAATATCATTTTACCCAGTAGCTTTATTTCGTGACTTAAATGACTTAAAAGCAATCTCAAATTCATTAAAAGTTAACTCAGTAAAATTTAGATTAGAGCTTATTGATGTTTCGAACTCATCAACAGATTTATCTTTAATGAATGAAATACTATCGCTTAATTTTGTCCCGATAGTGGAGAAAAACTTTTCCAGACACCTCCTTCATGATTTGCCAGACGCGTTTTGAGTTGTGCTTATATTAAGCAAGTTTAATAGTAGTTTTTTTTTGCATTTTTGCGAAGCTTTTCAAATAAGTTTTTATAAGTTTTATGTTTTTGTTTATGTTTTTCTGATTTTGACTTGAGGTATTTAATGTATAGCTTCTGCTTAATTTTTGATGATTTTCTGAGACCTTTAGTAATCCAAGGAGATGACATTTCTTTATCGCTCAAAACTATTTCAATTAAAGGAAAATTGGAATCATACACTTGGTAAAAAGTTTTGAAAAAATTGTCGTAGATTATGTTGATATTATCATTAAAGTTAATATAACCCCAATCTATAATTGATAATTGTTCTCTGAAAAAATATAGATTATTATTGTTGATAAGCCGTTTTTTTATTTTTTTATTACCTTTCCGTGCTTTTTTTTTTTTAAATTAACACATATAGAAATAAAAATCGGGTTTTTATAATTCCTTTTTTAGCGACTTATTAAAATGTTATCAGTTAATGATAATGAATGACTTATGATTCTAGTCGGGCGATTAATTAAAGGTATTGTTCCAGTTTAAAATAAACCATTAAAAGATTTTCTCAAACTTTGATTTTCATGATAATCAAAGAAGTTTATGTTGAAATCCCCGATCAAGTAATTTTTTTTCTTTTTGAGATCAGTTTTCTTTATTATGTTTTTTAGTAAAAAAATGCCAAAGTTTTCAATTCTTCCAGTTGGTGGCCTGAACAACAGCTTATTAGTATATTTATTGAAAGCTTATTGATAAGTTCTATTGTTAAAATCACTTTGTTTTCATCAGAAACACACTTCGAACTTTATACAGAAGGTTATTTTTAACAAAAAATAAAATTCCTCCTCCTCGCTTATTAGTACTTCGTTCTAATATTACTGGATCAAAACCTAGAAGATGGAGATTTGATTTATTTTTGAAAGTTGCTTAAAAAAGTTAAACAAATTAAACTAAAAGAACTTTCCGCTTCGCTAATAAAATTTAATAGGTTTTCAAAACTCTTTTTTATGCTACGTATATTAATGTGGACTGCCTCAAGATAATCACTTTTATTATCACTTCCATTTTCGCTATAATTTAGATTTGGCAGTAAGTAATAGAGTGCGACAATTTGAATGTCTTTTAGCAAGACTTAGTGATTAACTTATTGTATACCACTTAAGGATATAACGTATATTTAAATATAACGGTTATAATTTCCGGATAGATCTATCCTGAAATTTTATATATTGTGTAAAAGTGTGGTTCACACTAAGGGCGCATGGTTTGCAGCGGCAAATTATGTATATAGTTTTAGTTAAAAAACTTGTTTCTTTCCCAGGAAACATTCTATAACGGAATTTCAGTAGACAAATATAGACATTTTGAGCTCTGTAGTTTTGCTTATCAGTTACTTAGTAGACCATTAGTGGTAGACGCCAAAAAAAGCTAGTCGATGACTAGCCACTATTAACATGTCAGAAAGTTGCTAAGCCTCGAGGCTTAGCTTCCTAGAATAGTTAGCATCTTAGAATGAAAAAAGAAATTATTTAAAAAATATAATTTACATATTATTTTACAGTAATTAGTAACAACAATATGGAAAATTTCACAAGCTTAAAAAATTACATAAATACATAATAAAATTTACTAAATTAAGTTAAAATTCTATTCACAAACTAGCTATTGTCCTTTTTCATTATCATTAGAGTTTGCTATTCCATAATGAACTTCGGTCCTTTCTGAATCATTCTCTACCTTTGGGGAATTTAAATGGTTTATTAATACAAATACTAACAGTTCTAATATTGTTAAAACACCAAATATATTGAAAGTCATGGCAGCACCAACCCACGATACCATGAACCCTCCAATGAGTTCTCCGATACCATGTCCCAATCCCCAATGTACTCCATGCAAAATCCCTAAATTAAAAGGTAATTCAATATTATATGAATATCATATATATATATATATATATATATATATATATATATATATATATATATATATATATATATATATATATATATATATATATATATATATATATATATATATATATATATATATATATATATATATATATATAAAATATTGAACATATTTTACTACTATTTATGAACATATAATGTAACAAAATGAACATTTATAGTTTACATTTATAATTTTTTTACCTTGTAGAGTAGTAACACTCTCATTGTTTGCGTTTAAACCAACGTATGATGTCATAGCAGCCCAGGCTGCTGCTGTTGTAATACCTGACAGTGGTTCTGCCGCCAACACATACCATGGATTTGGCAACAAACCATAATAAAACAACCTCAAAGAATAGCACACTAAAGCTATATATAATACTCTTATATGTCCAACTTTTTCTATGAATTTTGCAGAGAAAAAATAAACAAAAACCTCTGCAACGCAGTTTACTATCGAAATTGTACTGAACAACATTTGAGTTCCTCCAATATCTTTTAAGTGCCAAAATAAAAATGTCTTAATAATTGACATCACTACTCCAACATAGAAAGTCGTGATTATGAAGAAAAAATATACAGGTTTTTTTAATAATTTTAATCCTTGAGATATTTTTTCAGTTCTACTAACAGAGTTGAGCGAAGCATTGTTTTCTTCTTCAGTTTCAAAGTCAAGTTTCAGACCTATGAATAAGGCAATAAGTTGTAAACAAGTGAACGTGTAAAATGCAGGGTAATAACTGACTTCATTGTTAATCCCTGGACATAACGATATTGTTGCTATAACAGATCCAACACCGAACGAGCTAACACCCCATCCCAACGAACCCCAAAGTCTTTGCTTTCCATACTTATGAGTCTCATTTTTTTTCTTTAACTTACGAATTGTTGCTGTATCGACAATAGTTATTAAAGGACACGAAAAAATAGTAGCGATTATTGTGACTGTCAATAAATAGTGAAATATTCCATTTAAGTTAAAATCAGCAATATTATCAAGTTGGTAGTTTGTCTCTTCCGCAGAGCTGGCCTTGGCAGCAGCGCAAACGGTCCATGGCATTTTACTGAGATGAACTGACCACGAATCTTTTAACAACTCGTGAGTTTTCCCTTTGTCTAATGGCGTAATTTTATCTAAGTTGGTTGAAATATATTGATCGTCAGATTCAATCTCCTGGGATGATTCCAAAGAGTTAAAAAAATTCAAAGAAGGTGGAATTTGAAAAAAAGATGTCTCTGCTTCGACTGGATAAAAACTTTGATACAGGTCATAATGATCACTCTTTCTTAAAACAACTGAAGTGATGTTGTCCTTTTTTTGATGAGCATGTTTTAAATTATTTGCTGATGCATCTCGAGAATAAAAATTTGTTTGAGTATCAGTATCAAAATTACGACGGTGCACATGCTGATTATACGATGTGTGTGACGTAGTATTTTTTTTAATTTTACATACGTGCGAATGAGGCGCAAAAGAATATGCTAGATATCCACCAATGTATGCTAACAACGAGATGATATATATCAGCTTGGTTCTCCGTGATTTATCTGCCAGATATCCCCACAGTGGAGAACACACGAAAGAAATAAAAGGTTTCAAGCCACTTACAATGCCAACTTGAGAAGGACTTAAACCCAGTTGTTTAAAAAACAAAACCAAGTAAGGTATTAATGTGCCGTTCGCACCAAAAAAGAATAAGTAAAATAACTTTGGAGGAATTAGTTCCCGATTTATGCTTTGAAATAATGTTTTTTTTTGTTCCTGCTCTTCAGTTATTGTTTCAGTATTAGGTTGCGTTTCATGGTTTTCTTTCAAATCTTCATTTTCTTTTAATGGATCGGAAGCCATTTTAAAAACATAAAAAGTCTATTAATTTTGCTATTCATATATTTATAATTATTCCACTTTTTATTTTTTCAAATTAATTAAAAAATTATAGTTAAACTTAAATAATCTACGGAATGCGTTATGGCTAATCATTCTGAAAACCGTTAATAACATTGTATATGCGTTCAACCGGAACAACATAAAATACCTTATTTTTAAGTTTTAAACGCTTTTTTTTATAAAAAAGAGATCATGATAGTTTAGTAAATCAAGTCGTAAAAAATAAATGTTCAAATATTTAAGTTAACGACTATTAACTAATAAAAGTTATTGAGAAATGGTATCGTCATACAATGAAAAAAATCATATAATATAGAATCTCATTAAAAAAAAAAAAAATCTCCATAAAATATTTTTTATAAACAAAAATATCCTAATAAAATAAAACATTTTATTTAAAACTTGCTATGAACAAAAAAGCAGTTACAGTTTAAAAGTGTTTTTAACGCCGCTTGTTTTGAGCATAAATTTAAAATAAAAGTTTATACGATTTAAAGTTTAAGTCGTGGTTTTATAATTTTAGTTTTTTTTTATAAATTTAGCGATAAGTAGTTTTTGCAATATGCAGAGAAATGAAGAAAATGAAGAGCTAAGTGCTAAAAGTACTTGTCACACAAGAAAAATGTTTTGAGAAAATCTACTTTGATCAGAGATATAACACTTTTAAGATTTAAGGATGTAAGGATTTAAAATGGCTGATCAAAGTAGATTTTCTGAAAACATTTTTTTTGTGACTTACGTACTTTAGCACTAAGCGCTTTAAATTGATGACTGGGGCAAAACCAAAACATCATTTTGTTTTGTAAGGCATTTAATACATTATTAGGCATTTAATATTTTTATAATTTAATTAAAAATTTATCAGACATTTAATACTAGGTGCGCGTAAATCCGGATTTTACGGAGTCGTTTTTTCGTCCAAATTCTGTGACACGCTTTTTCAAGTTAGTTGAAAAGTTGCATGTTATGAACTTGTTTTGCTCTGTTATTTTTTAGAAATAAGTATCAAAATAGATATTTTTCGAATACTATTTGAATAATTATGGAACTTTAATTTTGCATGGATTTCTTTGAGTTAAAACCTTATTTACTATCAATTTATTGTTGTTAAATATTTGCTTGTTCTTTGGACATCAAGTATATATCGAAGGAATGCTGGTTTATTTTTCTAATATATTCTCTCAACTTTAAAAACCATTTTCCTTACTACCTGCCAAACATCATAATAAAAAAGCATACTCAGGCACCGTAATACTATACTCCATTTAGATAACTGTTTTAAGCTATACGATATACTCACAGTGAGGAAGAAGTAAATAATAACAACAATAATGATGTTGAATATAGATTATTAAATTGTACTTAATAATTGTAATGTAGTTAGCAATTTTAATGTCATTATATTTACCATTATTTAAATATATTATTTTTTATTTATAAATATATCATTGATATATATATATATATATATATATATATATATATATATATATATATATATATATATATATATATATATATATATATATATATATATATATATATATATATATATATATATATATATATTGCAATTTATCATTTTTTCTTTCTTTGTTTGTTCAACGAAAAATTATAAATAGGTTAAGACTATTTTTTATAATTTTTATTAAATTTATTTCATATTAAAAATTTGTGAAATTTATTTTACCAGCTTCTTCCACATCATCACTGTAATCTGGAGTGAAACCTACCTAAAACTTACCTCAGTAATTTTTTTACTGTTTTTTAATTATAGTTTTTCATTTTAATTTTTCAAACACTCATTTAATTTTTTGTTTTTTTAATTAGGTTTGTCTTGAAGTGATTTCTTATTTTGGAACAAAAAGGGCCTTTTGCATATAAGCCCAGAATGGAGGTGAAGATCTGCCTCATTTTAAATACAAACTTATTGGTGGCAGAAGGGATGACAAAGGATTCAGGAATGTAGTTATTAACAACTACACATTCTTTTTTTATTTTTATCTTTTATTCTTGATTGATTTTGATCTATTTATGTGTGTTTGTATTTTTAAATTGTTCTGAAAACTGTTGTTTTGCATTCCAACATTAAACTGTTTGTACCGAAACTTGAAGACTATCTTCAGGAATTGCATTTTCCGAATCTCTTATTTTAACTTTCTTCTTAATCAGCATTAAGTTTTTCAGTCTATAAATGTTGCATAACTTCTTTAATACCATCCAAAAAAGTTTAACTGTACAGTAACTTGAAATCGGTAATTTCTACGGTTACTTTATAGTTTAAAAGACGAATAGATTTATTTTTTTTAGCTGCATGTAAGTTGACATCTCCCAAACTATAAAAACATAGTTTTTACTATATTTAGAGACGTTAAAAATCTCTCTACTGCATTCCTTCCAGGTTTGTCAAGTCTTTTTATTGTTAACTTTTTATTTTCACAAAGCTATGGAACATCGGATCTGCAAACTATTTATGTAACAGCATAATTGAACTTGGAAACTGTGAAATCATGATTACAGATTGAATCAGAGGTTATTTTATTGTCAATATTTATTCTATTAAGTATCACAGCAATATGAATTTTTTACATTCCATATAAAGCCTAAATGTTAAAAGTGAGTCATTATTTGCAGTTAGTTGTTAGTTTTTTACCATAGCAGGATAGCTAATTTACGAGCTAATTTAATACCTAATATATTATGATGACTCACAACTTTTCAGGCTATTCTTTGGCTTGACATTAGTTAGAAGGTAATATTTTAAAAACCTAAAAGTTTTTTCTTATGTAGTGGCTCAAGTATACTAAGATGCTGTGACTCTCTTTGAACTCATTGACTAGAGTAATGAACACAACTTGGAGTTAAGTTTCACATGTTAAATTTAAAAAAAAAAAAAGGAATTACAAAAATGTAATAGATTTTTTATGGACGTACCTAACTATCCTCTTTACACTCAATCTTGTAAAAGAGTTGTAAAGCAAATGAATGAAGCAGCAGTTACTGTTTACGGTTTTCAGAGACGCAATCATTTTATCAGAGCTAGAATAGAGCACAACTATGTTGTTCCGAATCTGAAATCTAACAAAAATTTATTCAATTGATATTCATCAGTTCAATCTGTTGATGCTCAAGCTTGGTTTTAACAAAAAATTTATTTTCCATCAACACATGTTTTTTTAAACATTTTATGTAATTATAATATATTCGGACAAACCAGTGTGCAATTCATCTACTTTGAAATTTCATGTAACACTCTTTTATTTTTTAAAAGTTATGATCATGAATAATTCATTTTAAAAAGGGTGCAAGCGTTCAAGTTTACGTCATAACTTTCGAACACTAAAAGATTATTAGATAAAATTTAAAACTTTTTGATAAATATATATCGAGTATAAGATAGTAAAACTACACATTTTGTTAGCTAATCACCCTCACGCATCTAATGAACTAACATGCATATGTGAAACATTAAAAAAAATTATGAGGGTGTCATAAGCAAACCTTATTCCAAATTCTAATTTTTAGCTATTTTGCTTGTTTTTTTAGTATTGTAAAATGCATTAAAATGCAACAACAAAATAAAAATTGAATTTTTTTTTTTTAAGCGCTATTTTAGATCTTATTCGTTGTTTCATTTTGATGTTATTTACTTAAATATTTCAATTTTCATGTTCACTTTTGATCATCTATAAAATGCTAAACCAACAGGTATGAAATGATAGAAGTTATTGAACTGTATGAATGCAGGATAAGTGTCACAACCAACTTGCTGTTTGAGTATATCAAAGTTATGCTGTTGAGGTGTCAGCTAAGTACAAGTAAAATATTATGATCGAAGTTTGATAGTGCATCAGCAACGACAATCATTATAATAATCAAAGTGCATTGTCAATGATAAAACCATCTTTATTCACTGCATATCCTATTGCTAAGAACTGGTATTCAGAGGTGCTACCAAACAACACCCAGTGTTTGAGGATAGTCTTGTGAGAAAAGTTTTATGATGTTGTTAGGTTTAGTAAAAGTGTTTCCCTGTTTTCTTGAATACAGGATGAATTTTATGATACGAATGCTGTACGCTTTTAGAGACACATAGCATTTGTATTGACTAGGTGTCAACTGGAAACATTGAATCCTCTAAATATGCAGAACCTAAAGCAACTTTAAAGACTATATGTGAGGATATAATTAGTAATTTAATTTGCAGAGCAAAAGACTGTGGACTAATATACTAACACGATTGTGCCAAACATACGTTCAGTGTGTTTTTGAAAAGAGATTTCACATTTCAAAAGTAAATTCAAAAAAGCTACAAAAGACAGCAAAATAAGCAATAGATATCTTCCTCTAATTCGTAAAGACTTCAATAGTCACATGCTTGGCCTGGGCATTTACATTCGTAATAATTCACCCATTTGTCGGGAAACTAGGTTTGAATCCATAGACTACTCTTTTATGTGCTTTCGTTTAGCACCACTTCACTCTATCACCTTTCTCTTTGTTCTATATCGCTCTCCCTCATCCCAGGACTGCACTCTTCTTGATGTTATTTCTGATTATATTGACCAAGCCCTCATTCTTTATCCGTCAGCTAGTGTTGTTGTTGTCGGTGACTTTAATATTAATTACACTGAATGGCTTGGCTCTAGTGTCAGTGACTCTGCAGGCATTAAGGCCCACAACTTTTGTCTTTCTCAATCCCTAACTCAAGTAGTCAACTTTCCAACTCGCTTTCCAGACAACCCGAATCATTTACCTCCTCTACTCGACTTATGTCTTGTTTCTGATCCTAGTCAGTGTTCAGTTTCTTCACACTCACCCTTAGGTGCGTCTGATCGTGGTTTGGTCTCTCTAAAATTATTATCTCATTCTTCTTTACCATTAGAATCCCCCTATCATCGTACATCTTACAACTACCTTAAAGCTGACTAGGACTCTTTCCGTGACTTTCTTCGTGATGGCCCCTGGGTAGAAATCTTTCGTCTCCCTGTTGACAAATGTGCTTCTTACATAACTTCGTGGATTCAGGCTGGCATGGAATCCTTTATTCCCTCTCGACAATTCCAGGTCAAGCCTCACTCTTTTCCATGGTTTTCCTCACATTGTGCTGCTGCAATTGCCAATCGAAACCATTACTTCCATATCTATCAGCAAAACAATTCTCCAGAAAACAGACGTCTCTTTATTACTGCTAGGAACCATTGTAAAAAGGTTTTGTCTAACGCCAAAACCCGCTATTCTCAGACCATGAAATCTCGTATTTCATCACAAAAATTAGGCTCTCGTGACTTCTGGAGAATCTTTAATAGTATCAATAATAAGGGCAAGTCTGTAATTCCACCTCTTTTGTATGGTTTAGACTTTGTCACCTCACCTAAAGACAAAGCTGAATTGTTTGCCAAGAACTTTTCATCAATATCATCTCTTGATGCCACTAGTTGCGTTTTACCTGATATACCCGTCAAACAAATTGATCCATTGCTCGACATTCGTATCACTCCAGCTTCTGTATCTAGAGTGATTTCCCGCTTAGACTCTTCTACAGCTTGCCGCCCGGACAACATACCTGTTATAGTCTTGCAGAAGTGTTCTCCTGAGCTGTCGTCTATCTTTTCAAAACTATTCAACAAGTGCTTATCAGAGTCTTGTTTTCCAGCCTGCTGGAAAGCAGCATCTGTTATCCCTATTTTAAAAAATTCTGGAGAGCGATCTGACTCATCTAACTACAGTCCCATTAGTCTTCTTCCTATCATAAGCAAGGTTTTTGAATCTTTAATTAACAAACACTTAATCTCTCATCTCGAATCTCATAACCTACTTTCTGATCATTAGTATGGATTTCGATCTTCTCGTTCTACGGCTGATTTGCTATCAGTAATAACCGATAGGTTTTCATCGCGCATTAGATAAAGGTGGAGAGGTTAAGGCCATTGCTCTTGACATTTCTAAAGCGTTTGATAAAGTTTAGCATGCTGGTCTCCTCCATAAGCTTTCTTCTTATGGTGTATCTGGAAACATCTTTAAGATTATTGAATCCTTCCTTTCCAATCGTAGAATAAAAGTTGTCCTTGATGGACAGCACTCTTCTTCTTATTCTGTAACCTCAGGGGTTCCCCAAGGTTCAATCCTTGGCCCTATACTCTTTTTAATTTACATTAACGATTTTCCAGATATTCTCACATATAAGGTGGCATTGTTTGCTGATGATACTACTATTTATTCTTGTCACGATAAGAAGCCAACTCCCTCTGATTGCTTGCAGGGGGTATCTGAGCTCGAAAAAGATCTCACTTCTGCTACAGCATGGGGCTCGCAGTGGCTGGTGAACTTTAATTCAGATAAAACTCAATTTTTTCGGCCAATCGTTATCGCAATAATTTAGACCTTCCTATATTTATGAACGGTAATGTACTCGATGAGTCTCCTACCCTTCATCTTCTAGGATTAACTCTTACTTCTGATCTTTCTTGGAAACCTTTATATCAAATCCGTTGCAAAATTAGCATCTGCTAAAGTTGCTTCTCTTTATCGAGCTTGTCACTTTCTTACTCTGGATTCTTTTCTCTATCTCTATAAATCTCAAATCCGGCCTTGTATGGAATACTGTTGCCATATCTGGGGCGGGTCTTCTAATGATGCCCTTTCTCTTTTAGACAAGGTGCAAAAACGCATTGTAAACATAGTTGGACCTGCTTATGCAGCCAACCTTCAACCTCTGTCACATCGTCGTAATGTTGCTTCTCTTTCTCTTTTCTACAAATACTATAATGGGCACTGCTCGAAGGAGCTAGCGTCTCTTGTGCCATCTACTAAAATTCTTTCTCGTGTTACTCGTCATTCAATTAAGTGTCATCCTTTTTCTGTTACTGTTCCTAAGTGCTCCAAAAAATTTTATTCGTCTAGTTTTTTTCCTCGAACATCAGTTCTTTGGAATTCGTTTCCTTCATCTTGCTTTCCTGATTCATATAATTTGCAATATTTTAAGTCGTCTGTCAATCGTTATCTTGCTCTACAATCTTCATCTTTCTCTTCCAGTAACTTCCAACACTAATTAGTGGTTGTTTGCAACCTTGTTGGAAGCAATGATAATTAAAAAAAAAAAAAAAAAAAATATCATAAAAAAGATAGGTATCAGATTGACATCAATGAGAAATAATGCCATGAAGTTTAAAATGTTAAATATATATATATATATTTACATATATATATACATATATATATACATATATATATACATATATATATGTATATATATATATATATACATATATACATATATACATATATATACATATATACATATATATATACATATATATATACATATATATATACATATATAATTCAGTCAAACTGTGAATATTACATGTATATATAATTCGATGACAACTTTCGAACTTTTCATTACTGTTATTAAATCCAGTTAAAACAAATAGGACTAGACAAGTAATAAGATTCTTTACGTTTTAAATTTCTGATTTCTGATTAGCATCAATTGTGATGCCAGTGCTTCGTCTGCTGAATATTTACTTTTTATATCTGTATTTGAAAAATTTTAAACTTTCTTGGCAGCAACAAAATTTACCTATTAATTTCTTACTAGAAGCAAAAAATTATTCTTGGGATAAATGAGATTTAAACGTGCCAGATACACGCCGTTTTTTAGTTTTATTAGAACTATCATAAAACGTAACTGGTTTTTGACCACGTCAACTTGTAGATGGTTCATTGTCTTTTTTTCTGACAATCAACTATTCATCAAGCCAATACACAAACTTATTTTTCAAAGTTTTTGAAAATATAGTTTGCAGGTTTCCACTTTTTTTATACAAGTAAACAAGTTGAACAGCTTGCTTAAAATCAACGTCTTCAAACTTTTTGGCAATTTTTGGCTAAACTTTAATATATCTTTAGTAATATTTTGTTCCAAAATACTAAGGTTGTTTTTTGGAGAAAATTATGAATGTCTAAGTTTGATTAAATTACTATGTGTTAGTAATTAAAATTAAAAGTAGGGGAAAGGCGCCTATGATGGCATACTTAACTTTAAAGCTTTATTATTCAGTATCCTGAAGACCAAGAATAAAAGTTTTGATATAGATACATTCTTTATTAGATTTAGAACAATAATAACCTCAGGAGTTTTCATCAGTTTTATTTTTTTATTAGTAATTTTTATTTAAAAAAAAAAGCACAAGTATGTTATCATAGGAAACTACTGCTCCTATGGTGGCATAGGGGACAATGGAATTGGTTAGTATTAAGAGTAACTTGACCATTTCATTTGACCTAAGGGTCTTCCCTCAGAAATGCCAAAAAATACGCGTAATCATCCTGATTAACCCATTCGTACTACATAACAGAAGTGTTTGTAAAAATTTTGCGCATGCACATAAGAGATATTGCGTTTTATATGTTTTTTGAACCATAAATGTTTTAGTGAAAAATTCCTTTTTACTTCAATATCAAGTATGTTATTTTTATGAAAAAAAAAAATTTTCTCCACTCCTCAATATTGCAACACACCTAACTTGTCAGCATGTCATTATAGGAATAAGTCATCATTTTCTTTAAACAAGCATGTCTACCTTGTTCAAAAGATAAAATTAAAGTAAACATTCCACTAAATACACAAAACTTAGAAATAAAATCCATGAAAATTTTATTTCTGCACAGTTAATATTAAAATCACAATGTTAAATATTTAAAGGGATTAAAAATACAACAGCACATCCCAAAATCAATTTTTGTTGATTATAAAAGCAATATTTATGCATAAGGAACGTATTTCAACTAAAACTAATGTTAAGTCAGTATAGACATGTAAGTCTAATAACCTTTTCGCCATAACCAATATTTATGAAAATATGAACGGTATGCCATCATAGGCGCATCATATGACCAGTATCATATGACCGGTATGCCATATATGCAATATATGCATATATGCCATATATACATCATATGCCATTTATGCATCATATAATATGCATCATATAATATGCATCATATAATATGCATCATATAATATGCATCATGCCATATATGCATCATATGCCATATATGCATCATAAGACCGGTATCATATGACCGGTATGCCATATGCTATCATAGGCGCTATGCCAAAGTAAGTTATATGCGTTTTTCCCCTAAATCAATTACTGTTAGTGTTAGTAATTAAATTACTAACAACTAGCGAAAATATGTTGTTGAAACTCAGTACAAAGTAAGTTATCCATAGCAACAAATTTACCCTTATAAGATAAAAAACTGTTAGAGCAACGTTAATGTAAAAATAGATTGTTGCTAAGAATTAAGTACCACATTTAACACAATTAAGTACTACAGCAACCCAACTAAAACATATATGAAATCTGAACGGGAACTTAAGGGGACGAGGAATCAATGGAAAGCTGATTAAAGCTTTATATAGCTCAATTTAATATTAAACAACACATTACAAATTGTGTCAATTATTAGCTATAGTGCGGCAAAAAATAAATTTCTATAAGATTTTTTTTTAGTCTGGGATTTTTAAAGTGCAACTAAAATTACATGCTATGACAAATTTATTCGACGCAGTCGTTTTTCTTATCTCTGAATATTCTCAAATAACTAACTTTGTGTTTTTTTTGGATTTATAGTCTTTCTCTCTGTCTCTCAATCTCTCTCTCTCTCTCTTTCTCTCTCTCTCTCTCTCTCTCTCTCTCTCTATATATATATATATATATATATATATATATATATATATATATATATATATATATATATATATATATATATATATATATATATACATATATATACATATATATATATATATATACATATATATATATATATATATATATATATATATATATATATATATATATATATATATATATATATATATATATATATATATATATATATATATATATATATATATATATATATATATATATGTATATATATATATATATGTATACATATATATATATATTTATATATATATATATATATATATATATATATAATATATATATATATATATATATATATATATATATATATATATATATATATATATATACATATATATATATATATATATATATATATATATATATATATATATAATATACATATATATATATATATATATATATATACATATATATATATATATATATATATATATATATATATATATATATATATATATATATATATATATATATATATATATATATATATATAGAGAGAGAGAGAGAGAGAGAGAGAATGAGAGAGAGAGAGAGAGTGAGAGAGAGAGAGAGAGAGAGAGAGAGAGAGAGAGAGAGAGAAAGAGAGAGACTATAACTCCAAAAAAGTGGAAAGGTAAATAACATTCACGTTTCACATTTGATCAAAGTTTGGTTTAGATCATAAAAACAATTAACTTTTTAATGAGTGTGCTGTTTATAAAAAAAATTTCATAACCGTCCGTGATAAAATAACTTAAAATTACTAAAAATAAAGTTAAAATAAAAATATTGTTTAAAATATGATAAAATATTGCTGAAAATATAAGGTCAAAATTTTTAAATAAAGAATTGATATATTAATATAAGTGTTTGGAAAAATAGGGAAAAAAAAATGTCAACTGATTGGTAAATTATCTTATTGTTAATAATATATATAATAATCTTTAGTATTTCTAACCACTTTCAAATAAATTGGTAGTTCGTTGAAATCTTTATCTTCTGAGTAAAGGAATCTATTTTTACTATACTATTTTAACCTCACTTTATGTACTTATGTTAATATTGTTCAATCTGGTTGACCTGTTGGTACGAAAAAAATTATTAACTTAGTTTGAGCAAACCTTTCCTATTAAGCACTAATGGACTGTAGAGTAAATGGTATGATTATACAAAAACATTATGACTTAAAAACGTTTATTTTTTTAGGTGAGCAAGAAGGTTTTAGAATTATTGATATATACGAATCACGCAAAAAAATCAAGAAAGACATTGTGTGCGCATAATACTAGTATCTTGCGGAAACAATAATAATGATGTCACTATTGAGAATGTAAAAAACCTCTGAGAATCGCATAAAAGTTTGTGATAGTAAACATTTTAGCTGGAAAACTTAAAAGCCTAATTATCCATATCAAGTTATACAACATAAAGTTAGAGCAGCAGTTTCAGCCTGCCATACAAAAGATTACGACTGTTTTAACTATAAAAAAAAAAGTTGAATAAAAGACAATACTAAAATGGCCTCTTTTAGGAGGATGTTGAACGTGATAAGATGGATCAGGAAATGGAAAAAGTTACGAATAGGTCCTTATGTACTAAAAAGTTTTATATTTGCTATGTATGTTTAATTATTTGTTAAACAGCATGGATATAACATTTGTTTTTTTTTTAATATACCTTATTTGTGCTAGTTATATATTTTAGACGAAAAATATAGACTAAACATTAGATTAATAAACTTTGTATAAAAAAACAAGTGTCTTATAATGTAATTTTAGTGATACATAGTAAATATTTATAAGCCCGTGTTCTTTAAGTGAAATATTATATGTGCCCGTGGTATTCTTTTTATTTAATAAACATTTTATTTTTTGCTTGTTTATGGATTTCAGAAAGAGAGTTGTATTTTCTTGCTTATGAATTTCAGAAACCGAGATGGAAAGAGAAGGAAAGAGTAACTGTCACTTAAATGAAAGTTAAGTCAAGAATAAGTAAAGTTACTAGTCTTAAAATTTTCTCAAGTATAAGGAGCTCATCAAAAAAGTACGCAGAGTAAAAGACTCTTGATTGTAACAAAGGGGCTTTGCTGTTTATTACGTAAAATGTTTATTTTTATATCACTGAGAATTAAATGTGGAATATTATTTAGTATTTTTCATAAGAAGCTGTTGAATAAATACTAATAAACCGCTTCACCTGATTGAACAAAAAGATAGCCCTGACACAAATTTTAATGTGCCTAAACAGAGTAAGCGTAACCTCTTTTAACTACTCTTTAAATTTAACTTTAAGATTACTTTTATTCTTTGGGACAAAGAAAACTGATTTCAAAGTTAGATTCAACTTTGTTTATGTCTGCTGAGAACTATTTTGAAAAAAGTTTCTTGAAAAATGAAGCTAACTTGTTTAACAGCTAAATGTAGTCTGTGAGTATAACAGGTTTGTTGGTCTGTTGATAAATGTCTTCCAAATTTCACCACTTTACCTGCAAGATAAAATGTTGCAACAAATTTATTTTGCAGAGATGAAAAGGTCGCAACATTTCATTCAAAAATTCATACAAATGCAAGACGAAATTCTGATGGAATAGTTTATCAATCAAAAATCAAAATATTAACCCCTTTGAATTCTATATCTTTATTACTACACAAAAACGCACAACACCGCATGCTAGTGTTGGTTTAGATTTGTTATTGTGTTACACAATGCGCCTTTTGTGTTCTTAAATAAACTAATAAAATATTCGCATAATAATTATAATTAATAATTGAACTTTTATTAAAAACCTCATTTTGTATAAAAATAAATCAAAGAAATAAGAAATTAACATATCAAATTATTTATCTTTTCATATTATTACACTATATACACATGTGTTAATGTATATACAAGTCTACTGTTTTATTAACAACAGCTGAATAAAGACTACTATATCCTTCGAAATTCAGCGAATCCATAAATGGCAATTGCATCTGTTTTAAAACCTTGACTTTCCATTTCCCCTAACGTTGGAAAAAAATGGTACTTTTCGTGCAGAACACCAAGTCCAAGTATTTCGCAACGTTGGTTTAATTGATCCTTTTCGTAGTTTACTGTTTCTAAAGTTCTATTTTCCACATAGCTAAGCTTCGCTGTAAACCACTCAATATTAATCAGCAGAACATTATTTTCTTCGTATACGCGAACAGGTTTTTGTATTAAAGGCCATTTAGTTTGGAGTTTATACTCGCCAATGTAGTATTTAAAATCGGGTGGTGGTATATACTAAAATTTACAAGATTAAATTAGCTTCTATTTACTTACATACCGAACTAACACAAAACGTTCAAGTACGTTCGACGAACTTTGTGAAGGTTCGAGCACGTTCTATGAACGTTCGTTGAACGTTTTGTGTTAGCTGGGCATACACAAACACATACACACAAATACTGACATGAGTGAATCTATTTTGTTCAAATGATTTAGTATAGCAATCTAATGGTTGCATCTAAACATTATTAAAACTAATAACATTAAAAAAAAAAACTTTTTGATTATGGTGTTTTTTACTTTTTTACCTAGTAATAAAAAAGAAGCAATATTCGATATAGTATATAAAAAGAATGAAACAATTTCTTCCTAACTAAATTCCAATATTTAAGCGCTACAAACAAAACATTTTGTTTACCATGCGGCATTTAGTTGGTTAAAAAGTATCTTAATACTTTATTTAAACTTATACCCAGACCCCCAGATTAGTCTGAATCCAAGTACATTAATGATCACATCCAAAGTTTTATAAAACAGAAACTTTAGTACTTTTTATTTTACTTTTTTAAAATCATCAAATAAAATAATATTTAAATTCAAATGAATAAACTTAATAAAATGCATCAGATAAAAAGCACAATTTATTTTTAAAACGTATTTATACCGAGAAAGTTTTCCTACTTACTAGGATATCTTTCCTAACATACCTAGATAAAAGATAGAATACCTAGAATACCTAGATAATACTTTATTATAGATCATACTTTATTAAATAAAAATTATGCTATATTATATCTCTATAATATTATATTATATCTGTCTCTGCTTACACGGATATCCACATACAGATGTTGCTTTCGCTGACACGGATATCCACAAACGGATGCTGCTTCTGATTACACGGATATCCACATACGGATGTTGCATCTACTTAGACGGATGTCCTCATACGGAAGTTGCATCTGCTTACACGGATATCCACATACTGATATTGCATTTGCTTACACGGATATCCACATACGGATGTTGCATCTGCTTACACGGATATCCACATACGGATGTTGCATCTGCTTACACGGATATCCACACACGGATGTTGCATCTGCTTACACGGATATCCACATACGGATGTTGCATCTGCTTACACGGATATCCACATACGGATGTTGCTTCTGTGATCAATTTAACAAGCAATAAAGAGCAAATTGAAGAGTATCGATTTGTGCATATTTTGTATTACAGTTTCAATTAAACTACTATTTATCTCTTTTAAAATAAGTGGAGAAGACGTGTAGGTGGAGGAGAGGTGTTAATGGTGAAACCCTCAGATAATTTTCTCAATTCAAAAGGTTAATACATCAAAGTTAAGAGAATAAATTTAAAATTTCATTACTCTATGATACACGGGGAAGTTTATTCATTTTTGAAAATTTTATTAAGACACCCCACGCCCAATTAATTTTTACTTGATATCAACAACAAGCAAAAAATCAGGAAAAATATATTAGTTACTGATAAGAATAAAAACTTTCTGTGTAATTTTAAAAACCGTCTTTAAAAAAAGACTTTAAAAACCGTCGACCTTTTAAAAATCTGGTAAATTTTGATTTTCCAAAAATTAGGTTTTTGTTTATTATCAGCATAATGCAAAACTTAAGTAAGCATATTAAGTTCTTTCAAATTATATTGAAACAGCTGTTAAAAAATGCGCATTTGAGCGCAAGCCACACTAGAATTAAATTGTTTATTTGTGTTCTGTAAAAAAATGCCCACCAACCCTTGAATAAAACATCCTAGAGTACTTGCAAAATCTGAGAATAAATAATACATATAGTGATGCTTCGTTCCCACCAAAGAAATCTGTAATAAGATTCTTAATATTTACAGATAATGCTATCGATAAAAAATATCATCAAATGAACAATAGATTAATGCTGTGTAACATTCTTAACAGTTAGAAATTTTCTAGGAGTTTGTTCACATTTTATGCCATTAAGGGTGTCCTGTATTAATAATTATAGCCTAATACCAGTTGTGATTTTTATCATAGTTTGAAACAGAGCAAAATTTTTAATTTCTCTACTTTGTTTTGGTTTTATAATTAAAACAATAAACTAGAATTACAGAAACAATTTTAAATGCAATAAATCATATACATATATAGTTTGCATATTTCTGTAAACATTGAAAATCAAACAACTTATTATACTAAGAAGTAGTCAAAATATAACATATTTACTAAGTTTTCTGAATAAAATTTTAAAGTGATAAATAAAAGTTAAAACCATTTCAACAAATGCAACAAAATAACTTTTCACTTAGTTGCTTCCTTAGGTAGGGTAGATTAGGGTAAAATGAACACCGACTTTATGTATTGATAGCAGGAATCAGTACAGTTAGCGTAAATTTATATGCAGTAATTAATTTATATCATCTAATTAAAACGCTGTTAAATTTTTTGATTTGTTAAAATAATATCATCACGCATAAAAAAATATGTGGCGCGAAATTTTGGTGCTAAAATAATCAAATTAATTTTTTCATAAAGAAAAATGTTAGCTAAAAATTCAATCCATTTTTGTTTAAAAAACAACGCATAGAAACATTTAGTTTTGAATTTATTAAAAGATGCCATTTTTGTGTAATATGAGCATACTCAAATTACCCAGTGTTTTTAATTGAAATTACCTAGATGAAAGTCTCGGTAATTTCAATTAAAAGTATTCAATTTGAATAAAAACAAGAAAGTAAAAAATTTTAATATATTAATAATGCTAAATATTTTTCTGTAATTTAAATTCAAAAATTCTGAATTTTCATTGTTCAAAGGTTTGAGTGAACAAAATTGAAAAAATAACAAACTATTTTTTTTTTGCGGAAAACATAGTAGTAATATTTTAACAAAAAGTGGTTCAAAAATTGATCTTTCAATAATAAGTTTTATTTTTAAAGAATCTTTATATTCCAAAAATTAGTTCTAATTGTCAGATTGGTATTAATTCTAATTATCAAAGTTATTAATTCAAAATTGTATACAAAGGTATTAATACCAAAGTATTAATTCAAAGTTGTATACAAAGGTATTAATACAAAGGTATTAATTCAAAATTGTAAAAGTTCTAATTGTCAGACTGGTTTACTTAGTTTATGTTATTTTTTTGAACTCTTTTTTTTAATTTTTTTTATTTAAAGTGCTCTCATTACCAAGTGGTCTTGGTAATATGAGCACTTTTGCTACTCTTTTAAAACCTCTGTATTTTTAAGAAAAATTTTGGATCCAGCATGATGATTTTTGAAAATATTCCAATTTTTGCTTAAGGTACTCATATTACCCTAATCTACCCTATATGACTGAGCAAAAAAAATCACTTGATTGCTTCCTTAACTAGGTATATGACTTAGTAAGAAACATCACTTGATTGCTTTCTGAGTTAGGTATATAACTTAGCAAGAAACATCACATGATTACTTCCTTAGTTAGGTATTTGACTTAGCAAGAAACATCACTTGATTGCTTCCTTAGTTAGGTATATGACTTAGCGAGACATAACTGCTCACTTAATGAGTAATTAAAAAGTAGTTTCTTATTATTATTGGAAAATAATGTAAAACAACGCATATTTATCAAAAGTATGAATGTAGAATTAATTTACACTTTATTACACTATTTTACAGTTGTTGCTGGAAAAGGTTTTGGTGTAGATATTTACATTTGGTTTCCTCAGTTTAAATATATAATGATAATTTTTTGATCAGCTCTGACTTTTTGTTTCAGAAACATTCAAAAAAAAAAAAAAAAAAAAAAATAAATAATTTTATTTATAAAGAATTTATTAAAAAACTAAATTAAACATTTAGTGTTTTCAAAAACTTTATTTTAAGCTGTTTTCTTATGTAAAGACAATAAAAAAAAAAAAAAAAGCGTATTAGGGACCAGCAAAAATCAGGATTAACATTTTTATACCTAAAACAATGATAGCATTTATTCATGATGAGTAAATCTTAATGCATACCCTCATCCTGCTCTTTGCTCAAATCTCTGAGATTTTTAGAAAGGTTGTGTGCCAATAGAAAAAAGTGGAGTGTCCCGATCATCCCTGGAAATATATATTTTTAAATATATTTGAAAGGGATTAAAGTCTCTTTCCTAGATCCAAAATGATGTACAAAATTGTTTTGTTAAAACAATACAAATTATGCTGAGAAATTCGTTTTTGATTCTTGTTGAATTGAATTCAAAATAAATTTTGTGTGTGTGTGTTTTAATGGAAAAAGAAATATCAAAATATCCTCACAAAACTTTTAAACCAAACTAAATTTAATCATTACTTAATCATTAATTAATCTCTTTAATTATTATTTATTATTTATTAAGACAAGGTTATAGTATATATACAATAGTATATTTTAATGTGAGAATTATAAAGTTTTCCTATTTTTCATGAGAATATTAAACTTTTATATTATAAAGTTTTCCTATTTTTTGTTGAGAAAATTAAACTTTTAGTTTTTATTTATTATCCTTAATTATATAATTTTAATGTACCAATCTTAATGTTAAGTAATTTTTAAAATTCTTTGTTTTTGTTCATTTCAACTTGATTTAATAATGATGGAATTAACAGTTAATTTATAAACAAACAATTTTAAAAATTATATAAATAATAATATAAGTTTAATTATAAAATATAAATAACATAACCCAGTAAGCACAAGACGCATTTTAGACACTTATAGACGTCTAAAACTAGTCTAGGTAAAGACGCACTTTTATAGGCGTTATAAAGACATCTTTTAGACGTCTTTTATGAATGCGTTTTTAAAATGACGTTTAAAAGGCGTCTATTTAAGCGTTAAAAAAACGTCTAGAAGATATCTTTTTTTAAGACATCTTCTAGACGTCTTTAATAAATGTGATTTTAACATGACGTTTAAAATATGTCTTTTTAAAGTTTAAAAATACGTTTAAAAGACGCGTAATAAATAGTCTAAAATACGCATTAAAAGACGTCTAGATCAAAGCTAAAAGACGTCTTTTCTGAGACCTGTTTATAAATATGTCATTATGACTTCTTTTTGACGGCTTTGTCATTACGCGTTAAGTAGATGTTGTATATTCAAAGTAAAAACATAGTTTTTAATATTTTCAATAATTTGTTCAAGTTTTAAGTGTAAATTACTTTAAATTAAATTACTTTTTTACACAATTGCTAAAATTGTTGTCACAGGAATAACTAAAATAATTGCTATAATAATAATATATCTTTTTTTTATTATAATTATTTTGCTTTTTTAATAGATAGTTGACTGATCATGATAATAAGTGAAAATGGCAAGAATAATATATAAGTTAAATATCAGTACTTTTAGTTTTTATACACCCACAAGCCATATAATAAGTCAAGATTGCGGTCAAAAATTAGCTAACAATAGGTAAAATAAATTATTTATAACTTAAGGTTAGTTGTAAATGTTTTAAATACTGTTTTGATATATATTTGTTATTGTTTGTTATTACTTTCATCTTTGATGCACCAACCGTTAGTGGTGATTACAGCAATATTATTTTGATTGCTGGTTCCTATGTATATTTTGTACATACGAAATAATAACAATATATGATGCTATAAATACAATGAATATATACCACATACTACGCGAAAATGTTACGCCATGTACTTAAATTTATCTTGATAAAAGCGTCTAACATACGTCTAAAAGGCGTTTTTATAAAGACGTCTTCATTTAGACGTCTTTTAGCCTTATGATCTAGACGTCTACAAGTGCGCTTTTTAGACCTCCTTAAAGACATCTTTAAAACGTCTTTTAAACGTCTTTGTGCTTACTGGGAAAAAACATATTTTACCAAAATTAACAACTGTAAAATGTTAAATTAATTAAAAAATTAAAGTCAAAATGTCAAAACTGCTTTCATCAGTTGTGATTAAAAATCAGTACATTAATTGTATAGCATTTACAAGGAAAATGTAAAAATGTAGACATACTTTATTGAATATATTTATTTGAATGAGAGTTTTAAAACATTTTTTGTTTAAAGTTTTATAATTAAGAACACAATATCTGCCACCCCCCATCCAAAAAAAAAAAAAAAAAAAATTAATATAAATTTTATGATTGTGTTAAATTTAATGCAAATTCACAAATCATGGTCAAAAATAAAAAAATCTTTGCTTAAAACTGAGTTCTGTGTAACCAAAGTAATTATAGTTTACCCAAGCCAATAATGGAGATATTTTAGAAGGAGATTTCATATAGAAAATAAGTAATATTATAAGATATCACTATTTATTCTTTATAATAACTTTGTTGCAACCATAAAAACATAAATATATAGTAAGAAATTTAAATTAAGTGATGCTGATCATGTTTTTAATACTAAAATAAAATGTAGCAAAAGGTAATCAATTCATAGGTTTCATAAAATATATATATTTTTTGACTTGTGGAGCACAAACAATGTTTTTGAATATATTTATTGTTTTACAAAATAAAAAAATAAAAATACAATACCTCTTTTTTTTTTTTTAGTATTTGGTCAACTGCTTTACTAAAATTTTTAACAACAATTTTAGAGATAGGGGCGGCTTGACTTTCATTGCTAGCTACCATTACATTGACATCTAAAAATTAATTTCCATATTTTCACGTTTTTATCTAAAAACTTTTATTTTTAATTTTTCGTAGAATAAAAGCTGGTCTTGTTAAATAATTTTAAAATAAATCAAATATTTTTAAAATTTCAATTTGTCATACAATTAATTATACAATTAATAAAAATAAAGTAATTAAATATATCAATTAACACAACTGACTACAAAAATAAGGATGGTAAAGTAAAAAATATCCAGCTTTACATTTTTTTTTGTACAAAAGAACAGTTTTAATACGAGACTACATTTAGTGGAAGTTTTTTATTTTTAAAAAAGTCAGTTGATTTGAAACAATTTACTTGTTTAATTTGTATTAAAATTTTTAATTTAAAACCAAATACTTATGTAACCTATGCTAGTATACATTATTGCAAAAACAAATTCCAAACTTTTTCTTTTTAAAAAACAATTTATAAAAATAAAAAAATTGTTCAACTTCACATACTGTTCAATCATACCTGCTTATACTCTACTATTTATTTAAATAATGATGTATTTTATTATAAACCATATTATATACAATTTTTTTATCATTATAAAAATAATTATTAATAAATTGGTCAATTAACTAATTAAAAATTCCAAAAAAATTTGATATAATTAAACTTTAATTTTATTCTAATTTATATTAACTAGTTTTATTTTTTTATTATTTCAATTTATCATTTATGTTATTATTTAAAAACTCGTTTAAAACACATTTCATGCTATTACTATACGATATTGTTATATAATTAACAGTATATTGTTAAAATATTTAAGACTATAGTTCTACAACATATATATCAACTTACTAAGCTTTAAATCAGGTACCAAGTTAAACATAGTCCCATATCCAGGTACATATCCATCTTTTGCAAAGTTAATGTATGCAGTTTTTTTATTTTCTGGGTTGAATGGATCTAAAGTAGCTATTTCAAATGGACAACCTTGAGCGCTGTTATCAGACCATGTAAATGCTAAACATAAAAATAACGTAAAATATCTTTAAAATTTAAAAGACCCAAGACAAAATAAACACTGCACATAACAGTGTACACAAAAATATTCCAGAAAATATAAAAAAGATTAGACCACTTGTTGAATATATAGTTAACTTTATGTTAAGAAATAACAGTGGTGTAAAATAAAAAAATACAGTGTTTTAAAATAAAATAAAACAAAAAACAGTGGTGTATATAAAAGACTAAAAAAAGTTCAGTAAAAATTAAAAATTTTGTTCATACCTGGTGCAAACAGTTCATTTAGTGAGCGTTCACTTAAACTGAATATATCGGATACTGAGAAAAATACAGAACTCAACTAAAATAAATATAAAAAAAGACTTAAATGTTGGTGATCAAATCTTCAGAGAAATTTAAAAGAAAATTTATTAAGATTTAAAGAGAATACAAGCAATTGACAGAAGACTATAAATTGCAATTGAGTAAGGGAAAAAAAACACAGATAAGAATACCAATGCACCAATGTTTAAGGAAAAAACCTAGATACATAGTTAAAAAAAAAATAAATAACGAGTAACTCGAATTGAGTGATCACAGTAGTATTTGTAAAAAAAGGAAAGAAAGTCAAACTCAAGGTCAAAGTCTGTCAATTATTACTACACAATTTTTGATCTTGTTGAAAGAGAAAAAGAGGGTCTAATTTAGTAGTAAAGAGAGTTTTGGAGAAAACTATTGTAAGATTAGGACAATAATGCAATACTAATATAGGTTCTAATACAAGGACCTGTTAACTATTATAAAAGAAAAGTTCTATTGGACATTAGATGGAAGCAGTAAATCGAGGGCTGTTATATTTGAAACTCAAAAGAATTTTGATGATGTCTGGGATACTGGTTTTCTCTACAATCTCTGATGTATATGGGAATGTTTTAAAATTATTAAACCATTTCTAGTTGTTTTGAAGTTTTCCTTGATGAAAAGCATTATCTTATTTTTCAGTAACTTCTGGGATACCACAAGGCTTCATATTAAGTCCTGTGTTAGCTATTAATTAGTTCAATGATTGATAAAAATTTGACAAAAAATTTCTATATTGATAAATTACAACATTGTTACTGAGTCTTTACAATTTACTAAATTATTGAAAACAAAATATGCTACTTTAGTTTAGTTTTTATAGCTATTTGTGGCTGTTCCTATGCTGAGCTGATAATACCTTCCAATATAAGATTATATTAGGGTTTTCTCAAACAGGATTCTGGGATCCTGTTTTCCAAGGATCCTGGGGGTTAAAGTGATAGCAAGATATCCCAGTATATAGCTAACATTTCCTGGGATATATCTTTTATTTTAAATAACAAAAAATTTTTTAACAAGTATTAGTTTTTTGAAATTTTAGAAAATACAACGTCTTCTTTTTTCTTCTTATTATAAAATAAAAGTAAAAAATATTTGATTTTAAACAACTAATAAACAATATATTTTTGTTTTTATAATTTTAAATAGTTGTAAAATGAAACATTTTGCTATATTGTCTTATTAAAACATTAAATATAAAAGAGGAGGAAATATTTTTGTAAAAAAACATCTGGCAAATCTGCCACTTGCAAAAAGTATGTAAAGATAATGAGCAAAAGATTTTATACAAGTGAGCTCCTTATTTAAAAAATGCAAAGAATATGATTTAGATACAAAGCTATCAAGGTTGATGGCTTCTTCATAAATGCTAAAACAAAAATTGTATTCATTAGAAAATTTCATTTTGAAAAAGTCATATTACCCAAAAATTCATCCCATGTTATGAACATGATTTAAAAAATTATATGATTTTGCTAAACAAAATTTTGAAAATAGCAAAAGAAACATCCAATTAATTTACTAAATTAAATATGGTTACTGACAGATCATCCCCAATGAAAACAATTTGGACAGTTAATTGATATTAAACATCAGCTGTGTTAGGCCAATGGGCTTCATTTAACTGTACGTGATGTTCTTTTCAAAAAGGCAATCTCTTTAGAGGAAAAGTGTGTTTAAGGTGATTCATAGATCCTGCAGATATTTTTTCAGTGATTATGACGGTAATGATAGTATAAACTTGAGCAATTTTCAAATAATAAATTATCAACAATGATAATATAAATACACGTGATAAATTTAAACATGATAACAAATTAACAATGAGAATATAAGTATACTTGATAAATTTGAACAAATGAGTCAACAAGCATTACACTGATATTAATAATCACTAATAATTTACGTAAAATAATACACCAGGAATCCAGGGATGAAAATTTAATGGAAAATGGGAAACCCTAGAGTATAGCAAAATATGGCATTAAACTAAAGTAAAATAGAAATAAAATTATTATTCACTATAGACCTCTGGCGGAAACCATAATTAGATTCGATTGTAAAGTTAGCATCTGCTTAAGTTCCCTTCAAAGTTTTTTCAAAGACTTCAAAGTTTATCAAGTATTTTTAATATTATTAATTTCAATAATTTATTAACTTAAAAAGTCAAATTAATAAAATAAAAGTATCATTGTCTTAAAATTATAAGATACTAAAACCCTTTAGAAATATCTAAACTTTTAAGGCTTAAATATTATTTTAGGAAAAAAAATAAATAATAAAGTCATCAAGGTTTAACAAGTTTTCTCATTAAACAAAAAATGTATAAAAAAAATTAAAAGACAGTTATAAGGAATACTAACTTGTCTTAACATCTAATTGATGCAATAGACATAAAAGCTTTTGACAAAGCATGCTGGTCTTCTTCATAAGCTTGCTTCATATGGTTTATATGGGAAAGTTTTTCAGGTTATTAAGTAATTTCTTTCTAACCGCTTTATTTAAGTCATCCTCAAAGGACAACACTCTTCTTCATTTCCAGTAACTTCTGGGGTACCTCAAGGTACTATCCTCAGTCCTGTTTAGTTTTTTATCTACATTAATCATCTTCCTGACAACCTTACATCTAAAGAAGCTCTTTTTGCTGATGACTCAATTTTATACTCCTGTCTTGGCAAAATTTCTTTTTTTTTAATTGCTTAGAACAGACAGCTGATCTTTAATCTGACCTCACTTTTGTAACAGATTTTTTTGTAACAGATGCTCACAGTAGTTTGTATATTCTAATAACAGATGGGCTAATAACAGGGCTCACAGTGGTTTGTATATTCTAACTCCTACAAAACTCAGTTATTTATTGCAAACAACTATAGCAATACAGTCAACATTCCTATATTAATGAACGGAAACCCTCTTACCATGTCCTCTTCTTTACATCTTCTTGGTTTATTGTTTACTACTGACATTTCATGGTAAACAATTGATTGCTAAATTAATATTACTATTAAATTAATCGGTTGCTAAGGTGCTAATTAATGACTTTTAATGAAAACCAATTATACAATCAATTGCTAAGTTAGTATCTGCTGAGGATGCTTCTCTTTATCATGCTAGCTGTTTTCTTTCTCCTGATTTAATCCTCTACCTCTACAAACCTATTATTCATCCGTGTGTGGAATACTGTTATCATATTGGGCTAGTTCTTCTAGCGATGCTCTTTCTCTTCTAGACAAGGCTCTATCTGCTAAGCTTGAGCCTCTTTTCATAGTTATTATGTTGCATCACTTTCTCTTTTCTCGCACTATCATGGTTAGGCTTCTGTGTTTCTTACGCATGACTCCGACCATTCCCGCACTTACGTGGCTTTTGCGGTTTTCCGAGCTGCGTAATTTTTTATTGAAACAGAGATTAGTATTGCAAATCATTTTGCGGAAGCATCTGGATTAGCCGGTTTACTGCGGTTTTAAACGGTGTTTTGCGGAATTCTAGAGATCATTTTGTTTTTAATTTGCAATTTAAGAAAAAATTTAAAAATTTAAAAATAGGTTTCGTCCAGCTTAGAACACGATCTCTATGTTAATAATACAAACAAAATTCGTTTATTATGTAATAATATTATAGGAAATTATTGCATGCATTTTAAGAAAAATGTCATTGCTATAACATGAGATGTTATGAGCATTCTATGTGCTTTGTTGAGTTTTTTTCTAAACCTTAACGTATATTCTTCCTTTGCAGTTCACAACCTGAAAATTTGACTCACTGCTCCAAATCACTTTTGCCCAATGCAAACGTTCTTTGCACTATTTTCATATTTTGTGTCAGTCCATGATTGACAGGATAAACTTTCTTACTGCAAAGATCTAATACCTTTTTTTGCAAATGTTCTTCCTACAAGTTCTTTGCTTACATTTCAATTAGAAAAGGATTGTTTGAATATTTGAGCTAGCTTTTTGTTGCTGAGCCTAGGATTTTTTCTACTGGTTCTGAATATGCTACTTATGCCAGGGTCACTAAGCTTCAGTGGTCTTCCAGAACAAGGCATGTTAATGGCGTTACCTGTTACCTACCAGGTTTTCACTGTTTTTTGCGCCCAAAATTCACAAACACTCATAAGTTTACTAATTTCAACATTGTTATGATTTTTTTGATTTGACCAATCCAATAATTTGGATTGGTCAAATCAAAATTCTCTGACACTTCTTTTCTACCTATTTGCAAGTGAATTAAAATTTAAAATATTGCATTATTCTTTAGATAATTTTTTGCAACTAAAATATTTATTTGTAATTTTAAAATTATTTTTATATTTAAGAATCATGAGTACTCTTTATATTTACAATTTGTAATTAAGTATAATAATTAGTTATAGAGTGTGAAAAATGTATAATTAACAAACTTGATAACACTTTTATGTCAGTAATATAAATCGTATAACGTTTAATTAGTTTTATGAAAGCAGTGTAGTATGTGTGAATTTCTTTTTTTTGTCTCTTTTATCGATGCAAACATAAATAGCAAAACACACACAAAAAAAATTAACTTAAGATCTATATCCGTTAAACTTCAATATTTGAAAAACTGAAACATAGTTATAAAAACCTCGAATAAACTTTTGTGCATAACTGTATATATGTATATATAAACATCATTATGATCAACATGTTCATCAAAATAACCATTACCATCTAGTAAATGACTGGGGTTGATATTTGACCAGGGCTATGTTTAATGGAATATAGCCGAGGCCGGGTTTGTGACCGGGGCTGCATAAACATTTATACATCCTAAAGTATATTTTTTTAAATTTAAAATTCATGTTATATTTTTTATATATATGTATATATAAACATCATTATGATCAATATAATCATCATTATCATCATTATTATGATCATGATCATCTTCTCTTTCGGCAAATACCACACCATATAAATATTAAAGTTTATATAAATATGTAAGGATATTGTATGCCAGCATCTAAATAAATAGCAAACATAT